TACTTTCAGGAATATCATCAGAACAAAACCAGGGGCTAAATCAGAAGTCAAATATGCAATGGCCTCAAAATGCGGCTGCATTGCAACTCCATTCATCCTTCCCTAGATGGGAATCCAGCAACAATGCAAGGGCTACACATTCTCTATCCATGTCAGGTCTAGGCCAGATGCTGAGATTTAAATGTCCCAAACTGAAAGCTAGAGTAATAAAAGAGTAGAAAGAGGGCCAGAGAAGGGCAGCCAAGGCTTTGGCTTGTCCTCCCCATGTGACCTGCCTTGGCATACACGTAAGCTGGGCAGGAAGACAATCAAAGGTATTCCCTCAGTCATAGCATCCACAGATTCACTGTTCTGGGTGCAAAACCCCCTTCTGAAGTTATAGGAAACAGGGACTGGAAGTGTTATAAGCTTAACACAGTATTCTAAGTCTGATTAGTTGATGTCAGACTTCCAGCTTGGCTTGCTCCTGGATGCCCATGTTTTAGTAGTGGCCTAGTGAATAGTTAAGACTAGCATGCGAGCTTCATTCAGTGCTAGAAAAGAGAGATCTAGCTATGGTGACACCTGCATTTGGACTACTAAAATGCACTCTATGTGGGGCTGCCTTTGAAAACAGTTTAGAAATGAGGGTGGTGATTATTTTTCTCCCTTTCTTTCACCAGCTTCCTTTTTTGTTATGATTTCCATTTTCGTAGACACATTTGTAAAAAAAAATTAAAACCTTTCTGGGCATAATTGGTGAGACAGGCTGTTCATGTTAATTTCTGTTTTGCTGTTTATGTTTGCTCAGTAAGGGATTCTGGAGGCAGCTGATGTTTACCCTGCCTATTATAGGCAGGCACACACAGCTGTTGTAGAATTGGTTAGTATAGATTCCTAGTTTTTCCCAACTCAACCCCACTGCAAAATGCTGTCTGCAACATGGTGCAACCTCGACACAATAATCTCTGTTTCTCCAGTCCTCTTTTACTATTCTCGTAATGCCCATAATAAGAAATCCTTCCAACTACACAGACAACAAGGAGAAAAAGGGGAGGTGGGCATAAAATGACTTAGTGAAAAGAAGCTGCTTAGTTAACTGGAGCACACCTATAACTGGTTTCGGGGAAGCTTTTTATTATGTGTGTTGTATTTTTAATGTTATCATTATGATAACTTCATATATAGAGAGATATATAAACATTTTAATGAAATAATACATGATTTCAACTAATTTTATTCTTTAAAAAACTTGACATGATAGCTTGTTTAACTGAGTTTTAATTTTTTTTTATTGCCAGGTGTTTAACTTGATCATGTTTAGCCTTTTTGTAAGCCACCTTGGGTCCTATGGCCAGAGAAAGGCAGAATATAAATAACATAAAAATAAAAATGAAGGGGGCAGCCCCTGGTAATATGTATCAAGTAAGATACATTAAGTATAATTTATAGCAGGTCTATACAACTTGTCGGGAACTTGTGGCCAAAATTAGATAGCCCAAAAACTTATTTATTTATTTACTTACAGTATTTATATACCACTTTTCTCACCCCTGGGGGGGCGGGGGGCTCAAAGCAATTTACACGAATAATGGCAAAATTCAGTGTCTTACAAATCATAAATCAAACAACATATAACTAAGCACAAATTGGTTTTAGCACCTCACTTTTCAAGTAAGGTATAATTGATGATTGTGTGTGTGTGTGTGTGTATCTCAGGGAGCGACTTGAGAAACTGCAAGTCGCTTTTGGTGTGAGAGAATTGGCCATCTGCAAGAACATTGCCCAGGGGATGCCCAGATGTTTGGATGTTTTACCATCCTTGTGGGAGGTTTCTCTCATGTCCTTGCATGGGGAGCTGGAGCTGACAGAGGGAGCTCATCTGCACTCTCCCCGGATTCGAACCTCCGATCGGTCGGTTTTCAGTTCTGCCGGCACAAGGGTTTAACCTGTTGTGCTACCAGGGTCTCCTGGCGAATGATTAATTAGGATTGTTGTTGCATGCCTTCAACATAGGGCAACCCCAAGGCAACCCTATCACAGAGTTTTCTTGTCAAGATTTGTTCAAAGGGGATTTGCCTCTGTTTTCCTCTAAAGCTGAGAGAGTATGACTTGCCTAAAGTCACCTGGTGGATTCAGAGCTATAGTCTGACATTCAAACCACAACACTATGTTTTCTCAATTCTGAATTCCTTCTCTTTATTTTCACTACCTACCTTTTTTTTCTTCCTTTCTTTTTTTCTTTCTTCCTTCCTTTTCTGTTTTTATTTACCTTTCTTTCTTTGTTTTCTCTCTTCCTCTTTTTCCTACCCACCTCTTCTCTTCTCTTTCTTTCTCTTTCTTTCTTCCCTCCTTATCTCTCTTTTCCCTACTTTTCTGACTTTCTGTCTTTCTTTCTTTCTCTTTCTGTCTGTCTTTCTTTCTCCCTTTCCTTTTCTCCCTCTCAGAGAGCAGGTGCAAGTGGAAGCGGCAGCACTCAGCAGGCCACCCCAATGGCTTGTTTGGGCCACATGTGGAACAGGGACCACATGTTGTTCAGGCCTAATCTATAATTCCATAGAGAACACAATTCAGTTTTTAAAACCAAAGTCAAATAAAGAAAGAAAATATATGCATACACCTTCCAACAAAGTAGTCCTGCCCTGAATATCCTCCTTTTCACCCAGAGAATTGGAGAAAAGGGTGCAAGTCATGAGATTCAAACCCAGGCCTGAAATTAGGGGGCCCTATACCCATCTCTACTCAAGTAACCGCAGAACCCACTGTTTCCTTCATATGGTTACAAGTAAATTGACTTACATTATTTTTATTTCACCTTTCACCCGATATAGGGACTCTAGTTGGCTATTATTAAATATGGCTACATTTTGCAATACATAATAAAATATCACTATGTAAAATAATATCACTATTACAATATGCATTTCCCTCCATTCCAGATTAAACTTGCCTCACCTTCTAGTTCCGCCTCAATTCATAACACACAGCAAAAATAATTGCCCTGTCAAATCCCTTACAACTGCATTTTTCAACCTTTGCACATTATTACAGTGGTATCAATCAAGTCGCTAATCCAAAATTTCACTTAATCATTTGGTGGTTTCAATGCGAAGACTTATTTGATATTACATGGAAACCATTTGTTTGTTCCATGTGGCTACTTTCTCTTCAGATAATTCTACAAAGGGGTAACACTGCATTTTGAGTCTAATTCGCTTCAAGAGAGGTGCTGCAATCTCTATGTACAGCCAATCCTTGAGTTCAACCAACCACAGCTCAAAGGAATTCCCTCCACCCAAATCCAAAAAACCAAACTCGATTTTGCCATTTTATATAAGGAACATCATTTATACCACTTTTCTCACCACCACCACCCCCCCCCCGGGGGGGGGGCGTTCAAAGCAATTTGCAAGAATAATGGCAAAATTCAGTGTCTTACATACATAAATCAAATCATAAATCAAACAACATATAACTAAGCACAAATTGGTTTTTAATACCTCACTTTCCAAGTAAGGTATAATTAATGATTTTCTGTGTGTGTGTGTGTGTGTTTGTGTGTGTGTCAGGAGCGACTTGAGAAACTCCAAGTTGCTTTTGGTGTGAGAGAATTGGCCATCTGCAAGGACATTGCCCAGGGGATGCTTGGATGTTTTTGATGTTTTACCATCCTTGTGGGAGGTTTCTCTCATGTCCCCGCATGGAGAGCTAGAGCTGACAGAGGGAGCTGAACCTACTCTCCTCAGATCTGGACCACTGGCCTGTTGGTCAGCGGTCTTGCTGGCACAAGGGTTTAACCCGTTGCGTCATTGGGGGCTCAAAAAAATTAACGGATGCAGAAGGAGTAGTGAAAAGGATCTTGTTTAGTTTCACAAGAAGAGTGGATTCGGAGAATCCTTTCTGCCCTCTTACATTTAGCACACTCCTAATTAGACCACTGGAAGTTTGCAGAACCTAGAGACTTTGCTGATTCAGAATTAATTCAAGTACAAAATTGGATTAATTTCCAGACATCCAGACCTGTGTACATCTGCTAAATTAATTCAGTGGGTGGGAGTGAAGATTCTTTCCAAACCGGGGATGAGTTTGTGGGGAGTGAACAGGGGCTGTGGCTCATCGCTAATCATCTCAGCATCCAGAGTCCATTCATACTGCCGACTTCTACCATATCAGCAGCCTCACTTCCTTTTATTTGGGGTTCAATAAAGTATAAATACTGCCGCTCACTCTCAGCAGAGAATATTCATATTCACCATCATTAGAGACAAATTAACAAGATCACTTCTGACAGGCAATATTATTCACATATAACTCTCTAATAATTAAGCTTCATAGTGAAACCTCCCAGACAAAGTTAGAAGTAGAAAAAAATCATTATGTAGATGCTTCATCAGAATCTCTTCTATGCCTGTGACATATTTTCATTGTCTGGAATGGGAGAGTGAGGGAGCTGGAGGGAGAGAAGATTGTTTTTGTATTTCTTGTTATTTCCCAAAAAGGTTGTCATAGACTATCTTTTTAATTATTCTAAAATGTATGTGAAACCTGTGTTTCCCTTGATATGGTGGGAGTACATCTCCCATTGGACCCAGCCAGTTGTACCATTGGTGAGACGGGAATCCCAGGTTGACACCATGGATAAATCTGGCCTAATGGGACTACATTTACAACAAAACAAAACTGCGCAGTATCTCATCATTATGATATGGAGACTTTAGCCTGTCAATAATTTAACTTAATATAATTAAAATGCTACTCCAGACATAATCAAGCCTGATAAAACTGGAGAAAAGCCATGATTCTGCCATTCTTTCATCGTCCTTGTGATAATACAATAATATTGTTAAAGGTATTATGGAATAACCAATCTGTTTTAAATAATCCTAATAGAGCTTGTTCAGATGAACTTACAATGGGACTATGCTGCATACCAACGGTATCTTGCTACTTTATAGCAAATATAACATTGGCTTTGCTTAAGCTTTGCTCATGAAAAAGGAACCACGTTATAACTTACTTACCACATCAATTATCTGTAGTAATGACAACTGTAGCTCTACTACAAGAGGTTGCGAGTCATTCATAACAGGCCGTTCCAGGCGATTATAGTTTTTCAGTAGTTCTCTGTAGAGTCGCCTTTGGTTTTCACCTTGCTGGGACACTGTGAAAGCAGAAAGAAGAAACAGTTTTTGGTCTAAACCTATATTTGAGATTATATTAATTACTCAGTTATGGATTGTTAGATAGGTGTTCCTGTGCATGTTGCATTTTTCTGTTAATCTATATTGCAATGATAATTCAAGACCTAAAACCTCTGGAGAAAATAACGTAATATTTTGAAAAAAGAACAAAAGGGAAGAAGGTGTCAGAAAATACCAGTTTGTCTATCTTAATTCAGAAGAAGTTTTGTTAAATTCATTTTTCAAAAAACTGATGGAAGCCCATGCTGAAAGAAAATCCTATACCTTAGGGTTTTTTTCCCCTAACCAAGTTCTATGATGTCAATCGATTTTGATATTGCTGACTTAGGTTCTTCAAATCCTGCTATTTAGATATCCTTGCATAGAAAGTGTCTGACGGTTTAGCCTTGCTGGACACTGGCATTAATGCACCTAAAGAACCAGTAACGGGGTGCACTGTCAGCTCCCCAAGTCTTTTTAGCCCCTTTTCTTGATATTGCTGACTTTTCGTGTGCCCTTCAAGTGTTTAAGCAATTGCAGGTGAGGAAAAATAGAAGTCCACTTTGCTTATGTCTTTGTAAGAGCTGTCATTCTGGTTGAATCTAGAAAAAGAAGGCCCATGAATTGCTAGAGATGAAGAGGAAGCAATGCAGTCTGGTAAAAGAGCAGTGGAAACATATTCTCCAAGGACCTTGAAATCTAGAGGTAGCCCTGGCATTTGGCTTGGCACTATATGTGTGTTTATGTACTTTCAAGTCACCTGGCAACTCCATGAATTTCATAGTTTCTTTGAAGGCAAAGGTTTCCCCTGGACATTAAGTCTAGTCAAGTCTGACTCTGGGGGCGGGGTGGTGGTGCTCATCTCCATTTCTAAGCTGAAGAGATGGTGTTAACTGTAGACAACTCCAAAGTCATGTGGCCAGCATGATACATGGAGCACCATTAAACTTTCCACCAGAGTGATACCTATTGATCTACTCACATTTGCGTGTCTTCAACCCACTAGGTTGATAGAAGCTGGGGCTAACAGTGGGAGCTCACCCCTTTCTGCAGTTTTGAACTGCCGACCTTCCGGTCAACAAGTTCTGCAGCTTAGCAGTTTAACCTGCTGCGCCACCACGGCCCCGTAGTTTTCTTAGACAAGAAATATTCCTCCCTGATAGAAAAGAACAAAATGCAGACAAGAAGTTCCCATGGACTCAATAGATTTCCATTATTACTACAAGCAGAGCTTTTGTAAATTGACTGTCAATTCAAAATCAAGTCAATCTGAAGTATTTTGCATTAAAACAGAAACAGTTCACACAACCGCAATGTATTGTGAAGTCTGTAGTTATGCTGAAAAGGAACAAGGAGGCTCAAGTGCTATTGCAAAACATAAAACAAAACCTGCTAAATAAGAAGTCTTACTACACTGGTCCTACACATTCTGAATCCGCTGTCTCATGGTATACACTGTCCTTGAACTCCTTGGAGGGAAGATGGTATATTACGTATGGAATAGATATGGTTATTGTTTATTGTTAGATCACAGGAAATTACAAAAATATCTCCAAGGCTTTATATTATCCCTCTTTGCAGATCATAAATTGAGAGTTTAGTCATAAAATATGAATCCTCAAACTATTCTGTTTTGCTAGATGTTAAAGTTAATGCACCATTTTGCAGCAATACCCCAATTCCCCTTCATTTTCAAAGAAAGTAAACTTGGCATTATATTTTAGTAGGTTCCAACACAGCTTAACAAGTGTTTAGTGAGGCATTTCTCATCAAGCTATGCTTTAATGTGAACTTTCTCCAGGGAATGAAAAATGAAAAAAAGAATACCTCACCATTGTTGCAGATTAGATTGAGCTAATTTGGCATCCTACAGTTTTTCCAAGTGTCCTGAAGTAGCTTTGTCTGACTCTCACAATCAAAAGATGGGATTGTTCATTCCACCTATTGTTTTTTAGCATGCCAAATGGTGTTTTATGGCCATGTGTTTGCATCCACATTTAATTTTTTTGTTTATAAAATTATGCAAATTCTTATGCAAACAGAGCTGTTGGGTTCCTGGCAAGTCACCAAGGCAGCTGCTGGTATCGTACATGGTTAGCCTGTCTAATCAAGCTATCTGTTGTTTTCCTTGTGATAGCCCCAAAGCAAAAGTAGTCATGGAATAAAGAAAATATATAAAGGGAAGCAGAACAAAGTCTAAGTAAATTGGGGGGGGGGGTGTCAAACAAACAAAAAATCACATATGTAATGTTATATTCAGTCTGCCTATCTTCATAAAGCTATTTCTCAAGTTTCTATCAATTCACAGCATGATTAAAGAAACATGCAGTGTAATCTCCGTGCCATCCAATTAAGAGAAACCAGAATGGGGCAATGCAAATGGGAGCCGACTTCATTTTCAATTACTCCCATTAGCCATTACAGTATAAAATTAATAGCCAGCAATCTGGTCTACACTTAAGAAGTTGCCAAGATCAAAGCCCGGAAAAGTTGCTTTGAGGATTACTATTGGCCACACTGTGTTGGAGATTCCTGAAGTCTCAAAAAGTAACTTTTTCCAAATTCTGGTTAAGCTTCAAAGAAATGTTGGAGAAGCAATTTCACTTTCAATACATGGGAAAAGAAGAAACAGTATCTGAGAATTAACTGATAATTAATTCTGGATTATTAGCTATTAATTATAGCAATTATATTCAAACAAATTCGTGGTCCTACACATCCCTAATTCTTGTGTTCAGTGCTAGACCTTGCATTAAAACCTTTCCAACTCTCCTAGTTATCCAGACTCTTGAGCAGAGTGCCACAGGGCAGGCTTGTAGTTGGGGAGAAGATAGAAATACAACCTTCTCACCCAGAGGCGACCCTAGGTAATTTTCAACAGTAAGCAAACAGTATTTTGGTGCGCCTCCCCCCCAAACAATCACTGATATATATTTTCTGTTCGTCGTTGGAGTTCTGTGTCCCATATTTGGTTCAATTCCATCATTGGTGGAGTTCAGAATGCTCTTTGGTTGTAGGTGAACTATACATCCCAGTAACTACAACTCATAACTACAACAAATAGACTTGTCAAGGTCTATTTTCCCCCAAGAGCGCCTCAAGAGCGCCCCTGGGCAAAATCAACTATACCGCGAATGCTCACTTTGCGTAATAGGTTGAGCCGCCCCTGTTCTCATCCCAGAGAACTTTCCCACATCTATAACTGGCAGCAGAGCATGGGCTCTTCATTGTAGGCCATTGCTGCATTTGTCTTTATTCTTTTCCTTCCATATTTCAGTTTTCTATAAATTTTTATTACAGCTGCCTCATTTGGCCCTGATTTTTTGGAAGCACTGCTGTTAATTCAATCTCTTTGAATCAGTTCCGGATTCATTCTACTGGGAATACCTCTAAAGTCCCTGTAGTGAAATCACTAATATATTTATGCAAGTCTGTAATTTCCTAGGTCAGCAGTTTTCAAGTACTCATTCATTCAATCATATTTTTCTTTCTATTCCATTTACATCCCATCTTTTCTTGAAAGCACTAATATTCCCTCTTTTATCTTCAAAGTAACACTGTCAGGTAAATTCTCCTAAAATCATTACTGCTCCAAACCTAGCCAAATACCATTTGGGAATGAGTGGTGATCAGCTGCACTAAGAGACTGTGTGGTGTAATAATTAAAGTATTGGATCTGGGTTTTGGGCATCTACAGCTGAGTCCTGAAACCTACCAGATAATCTTGGGGCACTAGCTGTCTCACATTGGCCTACTGTGGGGAATTATTGTGAGACTAAAATAGAGAGCACACATAGCTCATTGGTAGAAAGGTACAGTGAACCACTTACCAGTTCATTTTAGAGGCAAAATAGCAATGGTGAACAAGCTGCCTTTAGAGAAGGTTATTTGCCATTACTGATCTTCTAATTAAAGTGGCACTAATAACCTTTCAAAGGATCCCAACCAGGGGCGGCTCGTCCATTACGCGAAGTAAGCGGTCGCAGAACACTTTTTTTGCCAGGGGCGCAGAGGCGCCTCTGTAAATGCCCCTCGACTGCCACTTGAGGAGCGCCCCCTCAGCTCACAACAGCCCTAGCAGTCCGGGGGGAGCCTCGGCTTTCTTGCCTCGCTGCCGGGCGATCCTCTTCCCAAAGGGGCCGGGCCCTTGAGCCTCGCCTAGCCCCTCTCGTTCCTGCTCCACCCGGCCACCGGGTGCGCGAGCAGAGCCGGCGCTCAATCGTTCTCCCCGTTCGATCCCTTTCCCGATCCCCCGGCGCTCCCCCCGCCTCCTCTCCTCTCCCCAATCCGCGGGTGGGCCAAGGGGCGGAGCCGCCGCGCCTGGCCCGCTTCGGGTCCAGAGGCGTGTCTGAAGACCCCAGCGTGCGCACCAAAAGTCGCCTCTTCTCCTGACTTTCTCTTCAGCCATTGGGACCAAGAGAGAGAGAGAGAGCCCCTCCGGCTGGAGGTATCTCCCACCTCCGCTCCCTCCTTTGTTTTTGCGCCTACCTTCAGGAAAGGTGGGCATCTCCACCTCTCTCTCTGACCCAAAGCGGCCAGGCAAGGGAGCAAGTGCGGCAAGTGTAGTTACTGGGATGTATAGTTCACCTACAATCAAAGAGCATTCTGAACTCCACCAATGATGGAATTGAACCAAATATGGCACACAGAACTCCCACGACGAACAGAAAATATATATCAATGATTGGTGGGGGGGGGGCGCCAAAATACTGTTTGCTTACCATTGAAAATTACCTAGGGCCGCCTCTGATCCCAACAGTTCTGAGATCTCAACTTTAAAAACACTACTTTAGACAAGTGCTATCCAACTAAAGTGGTGCTGTGTGAACTGTTGTCAGTCTGTGAGCTGTCAGTTGTTGGTCCATGGCAAGGTCCAAGAAAGACAGAACTATACATAACCAAGGGGACCAAAGACAATACAGTGGGTCTTTAGTATCCACTGGGGTTTGATTTCAGGACACTCTGTGGATACCAAAATCCA